TTATTTTGCAAAGAAGTACTCTCAATGGCGAAAATAGGCATGGCCTCCTTATTACTCGAGTCACTAAAACTATAAATGACTGTGTGAAAAGGGTTCATGGCGCCACGATTATAGATGCTCCCCTTATTTATTTTAACATTCATAGTACAGTAAAAAACCGCGAGTTAGAGCCTGCATTTTCCCAATTTAGCCCAAACAGCTTCTTACATAAATGGTATAATTAGCACAAATTTAGGCTATTTGAGGTTCTTAAATAAGCTCTTATTTTCTGAAGAAAAAATACATTGAATATTAAGAGGCGTTTAGTTTATTCTTTATATCACATCTGCATATCAAATTAAAATTTGTGTAAAAATCAATTTAAGAAGAAAAACTGAAGCAGTTACAACATGAATTTTAAATGTAATTTTACATGTATTGTAATGCCTTGTCTTAGCACCAACAGTTAATTGAACTCTTATACAATAATTAACAATTAATGAATTCGGCTTTCGTATCTTATGAAGAATTATGGAGATCGAGGAGGGTGTTATCCGTCGAGGCCGTAGGCCGAGGCGGATGACATCCTCCGAGATGTCCATAATTCTTCATATGATACGAAAGCCGAATTCAATAATTGTTTTATTATTCATTAAAAATAATTCCTGGTTTAAAAACATAGCTAAAACAAGCTTACCTGCATCGATCCTAAGTTTATCTTCGATAGTTTACGTTTAGGTTTGTCCAGCTCCTCAAATATTCTCCAAATAGCAGGTGTCGCCCTCCGAGTTGTCTCAGCTTAACTTCTTGCTGTTTTTGCTATGTTTTTAGCCATTATTTCGGCCAGTTTCAGCTGTAGTTCTTACTCTTGAAACGCGTGAAGTGTCCGCTATTTTAGTTTTTACAACGAAAATAACTCAATCTCGTCCCCAGGTCATCTCGGTTAACGGTGCATTAATCTGTAGAGGGCTGCATTTTTGACGTCATTTCCTCGTTAAACCAAAATTCTTTCAAATTTGGTCATCAGTAAATGGTTATGGTGAATTTTGCTTGTGCTTTTAGCCGATCAGAATTAGGGAAATATTTTGAATGAATAATAATATCGTTTAAATAACAGTTTGTAGCTCAAATAACAACTAAAGATTGAAATTTTTGAAATTTATGGAAGATATCTATATTTTCACATCTACCTCTCTGGAAATCTGCGATATTAGCTAGTCAGAGAGAATATAGCTATAAATCGCAGGTACTAACGTCTGATCCAACGCTGGAGCGATATACCCTGCGGTATATCAAACATGGAAACACAGCAACAATAAAGCAATGTATGGAATTTGAGAGAATTTTTCATAGAACCTGTTTCACATTTTAAGGCTAAACAGGTGCTTGTGTAGAGGTGCTCGAACTAGCAAATTTTAGCCTAAACGGTTCTTAAAATCTCGGTTCTTACTCGCGGGTTGTTATTGTATTGGGACATGCGGAAAAGAAGCCAAAGCTGCTCCAACTAACCTCATTGTCTGCTCCAACGTGCATAAGAACAGCAAAGTTTGTGAGGTGGTTACAAGTGCATGTGATTTCCGTTTTGGTTCTATTGACCACTGAACATCCTTTGCTTGACCAAGAACCGTTGAAGTTTGATCTGAAATATAGTTTCGGAGTATGACTGCTGAAAGGGAAAGGCCAATCAAAGGGCAGCAGTTTATCAACTCTAACGGCATTAAAGTCGGTAGCGAAATATTTTCTGTACAGAATTGTCTAATTATTATCTACAATAACTATAAATCAACTCATACTAATAACCCCTGATGTTGTTAAGTCCTTTTAGGTGCGTATTGAAAAATTCTGTCACACTTACTTGGCAGTAAAATCCCAGAAGACACAATGTGCCTCTAATCCCTTAAAAAAGACATTTAAAGTTTCAGGTAAGACAAAACTAACAAAAATCATAGAAAGGTGAATGACTCGTTGGCGTCGTGGATATTTTTATACCTGGTACTAAATAAAAGCGACAAACGAAACACAAAAGAAAGAAAGTGCATAATTTTACAACGCCTTATTAAGGGGTTTCACCGTGGCTAGACCGTGAGCAGTCGTCAGGTTCTTACTTCATTGCCACGCGCGGCGAGCGAAAAATTGAAATTAGGCAAATTAGTACAGGTAATAGCATGATTTGCAGTGATATTTGGCATAAATACCACGAGTGATATTTCGAAATTGTTATACGTAATTTCACGAGCCGTTAGGCGAGTGAAATTTGAGACAATTTTGAAATATCACGTGTGGTATTTATGCCAAATATCACGTACAAATCATGCTATTATTTGTTTATACCACAACCCGCAAAAGGTTTGTAATTATCACGTGTAGGTATTTCAAATTAAGCTGATCAATACCACTGCTTTAAGCCAATCAAATTGCAGAAATTTCTCATGTAGTTGTATAGATGGTAAAAAGGACTGCCCTCGTTCCTCGCGGCTTAGCCGCTCACCCCTCACGCATGCGCTCGACCTACTGTGACTCAAAGGAGAAATAAGAGTCAGCTCGCAGTCTACATCGTGGTGAGTTCCGCAAGCCACTAACTGAGTTTTCTTTGATTTCACAATGTTTCAGGTTACGAAGAAAAAACAAGAATATCCTAAAACAGTATAAGCAGTTATCAATCAATCCCTTCTCGGCTGATTTTAATCACAGTTATCAATAAACTTACTAGCTAAAGAACATACCTCATCGTAACGTAATATAACTGACAGGTTTTTCTGAAGGATGAACTGGGGCCTGGGATCTAATGTGCTTCCTATTATATTACTTAGCGTGAAGTTCATGATAGTTTTACTGTTAGAAAAAATTGAACAGAGAAGTTATAAGTACAATGTTGTAGACATCTCTCTGCAAAATTTCAGTGTAAAGACTTTTAAAGGCAGCGTCTGGAAAAATGGTCATATATGTCTCCCTTAAAATTTTCCTCGTTAACAAATTATCTACCCTCTCTGGAAAGCACAGTAGAGTTTTTTACCATTTACAAAAAGATTCCGGAAAATTCTCTTGAAAGTAAATGGAACACGACTTTTTGGGTCTTTCCAGCGGAAAATTTCCAGGAGCAACGGAACATCTGAAAGGGTAGTCCTGTTTTTCCCGACGGAATATTTCAAACAGAAATTCGTGTTCCATTC